TATTTTCAGTTACAGGCTGAGTCATTTCTACCTTCTCCTCTCTGTCAACGCTCTCTGGTTTCATTTAAAAGAGTCGATCATCAGATATTGTCCAAMATTAACCTTCAGGGTGGATATAGCTCGCTAGCAGCCTCACACCGAGGGCCTAGTTGATGTCATCATTTACCCAGAATGCTTTGCATGTAAATACAATGGCCCTGTCCGTGTAATATATTTTTTAACTTTTAGTTTAAAAATTATAAAAACTGAACATCCTACAGTATTTTTACAGTCTTTATTTTACAGTTAAAATATATGTTTATCATATAAAGTCTAATATTACAACTAATTGGGGATCCCTTTAAATTATTCAGTAATATTTAGAACATATTGACTCATGACATCAGTTGGTATATTAATGTTAGTGATTCAGAAAAATTTGTCACTAATAGTTAACTCTGTTTTGCAATAATTAAAGTAATCTAGGRTGGAGAGAGTGACAACTCCTGGTCTAATAGTGTATTGGACTTGTACCGCTAAATAAAAATAATAATCAATGTACGTAATTCAGGTTCAGATAGTTATAACCCTTAATAGCAAAACATTGGTCTTCTTGGCTAAATTTGTGTTTTATAAACCAACTTTCTGTGGTTTAATGCCATGCTGACAGCACCTACAGACATATCATCTACCAAGATACCCAGGAAATACAAAACAAACCAATGAAAGGTCTGGAACAAACGACAGAACGAAGAGAAGGCTGTCTTTCTGCTGTGACATGATGTGATGATGACCAATCAAGATGGCAGCACAGATTCTGGCCTCGTTAGCACAGATAGTGGTTGGCCACTTGTGTAATTCTGTTTTAGTGTCAAGGCTTTGTCACAAAACAATTTCAAGCCACAGGTTGAAGTCAACCTACAGCTTTTACTCTTCTGAGCCATCAAGGGAGGCAGTAACTGAAATATCAGGATGAGCCAGTATTGTAGCTCAAAAGGGTAATGTAGTGATGATGGGTGGTTTGATTTCATAATACCAGTTTTATTTTTTAAATCTCACATGGTTGCAGGATYTGGATAGCTCAATTACTGATTTCTTGATAGCTTATAGAAAGGCATGTCTTTGCTGCCATYTCACAAGACAGTTTGTGAAAAGACCTGACAAAGCGCAGTAACTAATCTATATCCCCATTTTCTTAAATAGCGTTGGGATTTTACCAGGTCACGATTTATTCTTTTCTTTTTCAAACCATGTCAAATACAAAATTAGCTAATAATAGCCTTAGTTTAGTCTCTTAACTCTGTAATGGAGCCAGATGATTTGTTATATCTTTTCTTTTCCAAAAGACTAATTGCTTTTCAGGAATTATATTTTGATGTCATATAAAAGCTCTAAACACACCTCTGTTTTTTAAAGTTTTCTGCAGCAGTAGCTAAGCATCTGCAGGCCTCCCACACACGTAAAGCCTCGTCTGGCTTCATTAATGACCTTCTATGGTTTACAACATAAAGATTGCATCAGGTCTGAGGCAACCCTTCTAATTTGCTGCTGGCCGCAGTCCCAGGCTCCACGCTCCACTTCCCCTGGCTGCCGTTTTAAGAGGGGCATTCTGGGAGCAGAGAGGGGTGGGGGGGAATTATGCCCACATACCAACACAAAGCAGGGCCATACTGAGGCTCACAAAGAGCCACATGAAGCAGCTATACTGAGGTGTGACCTCCAGTTTGAGTCAACATCAGTCCAGAGGGTTTTTCTCATGAAGTGAGGTAAAGCAARAGGTAAAAACACTGCAGTGATTGTTGAAACAGACATACTGATATCAACAACTTGTTGTTCCCAGTTCAGGGGTGTTCTTTCTGGTTTTGCATGTTTTGAAACTAGAACCTCTGGCTACCTTCACACTCTAGCAGGTATAAGTGGGCTAGTTAAGCCATCCCGGGTCTTTACAATTAAAATCTTAATAAACCTACTAAACACAAATTAAAAATATTGCGTCACATTTTGTGAAATCTACATCAAACATGGTGCCAAGCAGTCTCAAGAAAATCCCAGAGTCTTTCCAAACTGACTGTTCACAGCCCCGTTCGAGGTWCAGAATGATTGACAGATGTCAGTTTGCTGCTCATTGGGGCCAACTTTTTTCAAAAACTGAAGTGATGAGATTGGAGGTGGATGGACCTAAAGATATTCAAATACAGCTAAATGTAAAGCTGCAAAACCTGTTTTTCTGTGACATGGTTTCAGCGAAAGGACTGGCTACAGCAAGTGTAGCTAAGCAAGTTTAACCTTTAAAGAAAGGGAATTAAATACTGGACAACTGTCAGATTTTGTATTAGCTTGGTTCTTGGTGGTGGTTTGCTTTACAGTTGTCTGAAAAAGTTTACAGCAGGTTTTCTTTACTTCAAATTGGATGCTTCTGGTGTTGGAATCCAATCTGCAGCATTTTATTATATTCTATTATCTGTTAGCCCACACTACAAATATTACCACCAGCAACCACTGAATATTACTGATACCTACATCATAGTTTCKAGCTTGGAACTCCACTAAACTTCAACTACAGAGCAGAAGTCCAGTTGCTTCATCTTTTTTTTTTTTTTTACTTTTCAGATTTCTCATTTCCTGGATGATTGAGAGAGATTACACAAACAAATACTAATGTTGGTATACTAACTAGTTGGATCGATGCTAGCATGATAGCATAGTCTCTACTTATTTGCTCCCATCCCAGAATTAAAACCCTGCACAGAGCAGGCAGGAAGCAAAAAAATAAATAAATAAATAAATAAAAAACCACTGGATGAAACAAACACAGCAGATAATAATTGAGTCAGCTCTGATCCACACATGTAACATGTAGCAGTCACATTTACTCGTGTAAACACAATGTGCTGCATGTGATGTCTACTTCTGTGCGTGCAAGTGGCTTCAGGACGGTGGTATTTAAATTATAACAACAAAAAGATATTTCTGATTACTCCGACTTTGAACAGAAAGCTCTAAACTTGTTTATTTGGATGTAACMTCATTGAAAGACGTTTAACCACAACACAGCAGGGGTCACTCTGTGTGGTTCCTCTTATGTATCGTAAATAAGCTCATTTGATCTAAATATCCCCTCCATCCTTCCTAAGGAACATTTTGTACTMGCTGTTTTCTGAGTTACTTTTTTAAGGTGTCAGATAGAATTTCCTGAAGATTACATCAAAAACAGCAAAACARGCTGAATGCTGACAAATGATATGTTTAATGCTTTTAATCCTTGCAGCAACTTGCCTTTGTCTTAGATTTTAGAAGAGTAGGAGATGTGCACATACCCCGGATTAACTCTTAATCCTTCATCTTCCCCATCATCCCTGGCAGGGTGCTGATACCAACGCAAAAGCTCCCAGCTCTGTTCTCTTTAGTCACAGGTTCAGTTTTCTGTCAGAGGGTGAAAAATAAAATTAAATTAGCTCAAAAGCATGACTGACAGTTTATAGGACAGAGTTTATGGGAAAGGTGGCAGGTGGAGCAGAAAGAGATCAAAAATATGAGATAACATTATTTTGTCAAGCTGTAAAGTTTTCAGTCAATAACAAGCTTCAAGCCGTTAAACTGTAGCTCTAACTCCTTAAGTAAAATGAAGTATTCAGTGAAAACAAGTTCAAAGGTTTTCGTGTTTTTCTTGATTCCACGWATGTTCATAAAATTATTACATTCTGATGTGTGATTATTTGTTTTTAGCTTTCTTAAAACAAATTAATTCATTTCCCTACCTAAATGCCCCCGTCTAGAGATGCTCTGATCCAGTTTTATTCTTTATTATTCACTGGATTTTGTTGCATTCATGCTTCAGACTTAATGTCCCATCGTTCCAGTTCTGCCCTGAAGTGGTTTTCTTCGATAGAAACCAGAGCGACCACAAGAGTGTYTTGTGTTGAATGGATCAAGCGCACAAACACATTCCTGAACAGAACATCAGTTGTTGGACTCTCGCCTCTCGATTATGACCATCAAACTTACTTTTTTTCCTTCACTGATTGAAACCATTTGGGTTTGAATATATTCCTTTCTTATTTCCTGTCAGTTCCCATTTTTCTATTATTTTTCTTAATTTGGATTTTTTTATACCCTTTATTTTTTTCATGTTTACCCACTTTTTAATTTTCTCCTCTCTTTTCACTCGTTTTTCAGTAAAACGAATTAAAAGTAATATTTTGTTGCAGGTTTTTCCTCTTCCCTCCAGCTCTCACGTCCTTTACTGACAAATCCAGCTAACCAGGTGAACAAACACACATGATAAGACCACATTTTTCAGGGTCACCCTTTGACTTTTAATTATATTCCTACTTTTACCAGCCACACTCAGACTGAATCCAAGTGAAACACCGCTAGACTTCCTCCTCCTCCTCAGCCAAGAAAACATTTTCATGCTTCAGAAAATATCCACATGGGCTACAAAGATCTGCTTCCTGTGTCTGCTGGAACGGTTTGGACCTCGTAACTGTGTGCACAAACTTCTTTTTGTTCTCATCGTACTGATTTCCTCATTCTCTGTTATTCCCTTCAGCACAGTTTTAAAAAAGCAATGTTTAGCTTAGACTGTCAATGTCGAGAAAATATTTAATCGGTTGTACTATTTAGGCTCATCTCAAAAACAAACTGGCAGCTTCTCCACCAGGGCATGYCAAAGGTACAAGCTTTACACAATTTTGCCCTAAATTTGTCTTTTATTGTTGTCAAATATCAACTAAAATGTAGACTTTTACTCCKTGTAATTTTGTTAAAATGTTAACAGAACAATCCTATATCCTTCTTGTTATGTTAAATTCACACACAAACACGCATGTGTGTGTGAATGGAACTGATTTACTAAGATCCCAAATAACAAGTGCTAAATTGCTGTGCAAACTAAAAAAATTGCATGTGCTATTAGTGGGCATGGTGGAGCTACGGTACTAAGTTTCAAATGATAACAGGTGCAAAAGTGGTTCGAACCGCCCTATTGAAATGAGGATTTTGCGTGTGCAGCATGATGTCTCAGTGACAACCTGTCAGACGTTTACCTGTAAACTGAACTTCAGAAATCAGTAAATTTCACAAAAAGCTCTGTAGTACTTTCACTTGACACAACAGGACGCAGGTTGTTAGGGTGAGAGTGGGGGGAACAGGTAACGTCATCCGAGGCAGAGCAGGTACATTGACTGCAGCCAGTGTGCACATGCCTTGCAAATGTGCTAAATATAGATGCAAAAGCAGCAAAAGTTCGTTTCAGGTATGATAAGTCACATGCTGAAAGGAATTTGCATATCCTCCTCCCAGAGTTTTGTACATTCTGATAAATGGAGCTGGGCGCTAAAGCGATTTGATTTGATTGATTTGATTTATTGATTCAACAGGAAAAGATTATTAAAAATCAAGCCTGACTCAGCATAATTGCTGTCTTACAGCAGGTTCCTGTTCTGCAGCACATAAAACACTCAGAATTACAGCATCACAATCACATCATTATACACCATAGACACAAAGACAAACAAGCATACCAAATTTCAAAAAGGCAGCATTTGCAAAATAGGACGTCTAAATATGAGCACAACAAAAAAGTGTCCAGCAGATGGCAGACAAGATTCTTCTTAAAGGGCTGTAGTTTTGAAATGGACTTTATGTTTTGAGGAATGTCATTCCATGCTTTAGTATAAACATAGAAGAAAGCCCTCTGGCCGTAACAGTTTTTAAAAGTTGGTAATATCAGTTGTCCTTTTGTAACAGATCTAGTTGAATGACCACTTCCAGAATTTGATTTGGGCAACAATGCACAGAGAGTTCCATAATTGGCACCTTGGAAGATCTGAAAATATAATTAATACCACTATACAAAACATAATTCTGAAAAGTCAAGGCATCAGACAATGAAAGAACTGTACAGTGATGAGTCCAACCAGGAAGTTTTTTTTATGAATTTTGTAGGCCCTGCTGTAGAGCCTAACTATGGGTTCTAAGATTTCATTTGTTGTAAGAGACCAAACAGGTAAACAGTACGACATGGTTGAGAGTATAATGGCATGAAAATAGATATTTGAAACAGAAGATGTCAGATTGGATCTAATTTTTGAATAAACGTTTAATTTCTGTTTCAACTTAGTGGTTAAGACTTGTACATGATCACGATAAGTCAAATGAGAATCCAAAGTAATTCCAAGATATTTGTAGGTAGTGACAATATCAAGGGGTTTGTTTAAAAAAGTGAGTTGATTTGTTATATTGAAATGTCTCCTGGGTGAGGAAAAATATATAAACACAGTTTTTTAACATTAATTGACAAAAGATTATCTTGAAGCCAACCATGAAATGTCTGTAGATCTGCTTGTAACTGACTATTAATAGATTCAATATTGAAATCAGACAAAAAAAAAGAACAGTATCATCAGCATACATTAAGATATTTGAATACTTCAATATTTTTGGAAGGTCATTTATGTATAATAGGAAAAACAATGGGCCCAGTATGCTACCCTGCGGAACTCCCACGGAACAGGGCAGAGACCCGGACACAGAGCTTCCATGTTTCACAACCTGACACCTATCAGTCAAATAAGAGGAAAACATTTGTATTGCAGATGATGAAAGTTGAAAAGAAATGAACTTTTGTAAAGGATTTGTCGTGTTCAGACTGTCATAAAAAATACGATGGGGCAAAATAATCAGATTTTGGTCGTATTTGCCTGCAGTGTGAACGTAGCCTTAGAGCAGGGATTTTAAACATCACTTTGCGAGCAGTGCATAGCTGTTGAGTAAAAACAAATACAACAGCCAGATTCAAAGTTCACACTGTTGTCTGCTTCATGGGACACCTAAAGGAGAGGATCTCCTTCTAAGGGATGAAAGGACTCTGTTTTTGATTTAAATTTCTGCAGTTGCTGATGGCATCAAGTGCTCTGATAGGCACATAGATCATGTGTCATTAGTGTAAATCATYTGAAGAGGTTGTAAAGGAAACACATTACAAACATGTGTTAACCATCTGCTGCTGCTGGAGACGAAGCAGGATCAAAGGATCCATCAGGGGAGCTTACAGAACCCAAGGAAGACCTGAATGAGAACTTTTTATTGGATTTAATGTTGCCACTGAAGCACAGGGGGGTGGAGTTATTGATTAACTACTGTTTTTTTCCTGACTGGTTTCAGCAAATGTTCTGTGTGTGTGTGTGTGTGTGTGTGTGTGTGTGTGTGTGTGTGTGTGTGTGTGTGTGTGTGTGTGTGTGTGTGTGTGTGTTTGGCTCAGCAGCAAGTTGTGGGGGTCAGAGGGTCACTGCCCCCAACTTGTAATAACCCCAACACCCCTGCCCTTGTTTCCATAATTAAAAACCCCTTCAAATACCAGCTCCGAGGTGTCAAGTTCCACTGAATCATTTTGTGTGACGTCGTTTTTATTTATCCACTGGAGGAAAATTGATGGGTTACGTTGCGTAACTTCTGTAATTACAAGGCTGGGCGCTAAAAATCAAAGCGCTGCCGGATTTATGTTGACCAAGCTTGGAGTGTGGAAATAAAAAAAGACATGCGTCTGCTACTGCTGGATAATATAACCATTACAGCTGAGCTTCAGGCACTTTTAGTTCTACGGTTTATCTGAAACTAAAGCTAAAACAGAAGCTAAAAAACTAGAGACAATGCAGCGTGAACGCTGAGAGCTGAATGACTGCAGAAACTTTACTGGAGAAGCTGAAGCTTAGTTTTTAGAACTAAAATAGACAACATTAGCTAAAAGGATCAAGCCAAAAGTAGCAAATATTTAGCTAAAAACAAAAGCAAAACAACAAGCTACAAGATAAAAAGACTAGCTAATAGAGAAAAGCAACAAAACAATAACTAAAGCCAGCTCATTACCAGGTTAAAAAGATGATAAAATCATTGCTAAAAAGTTAAAAGTAGCACAAGGTGATTACAATTTGTAAAACAATTACCTTACAGTAAAATAATAGCCTACAAAAGGGCAGACAGTAACAAAACATTAGCTAAAAGATAAAAATAGCAAAGTAATGCTAAACTTTGCAAAAAATATAGACAATAAAAATGAATGACTAAAAAATCAATGTATAGAAAGACAAAAATAAGTCAAGCAGCTAAAGAAGTTTTCAAAGTAAAGGAACTGAGAGGATTTCAGTTTATATTCATGGAGACATTTTAAAATATACATTTCGAAAAATTCATTAAATCATTCCACCAGACTTTTAGATTTTCAAAAAAAAAAAGATACATAAGTTAAAAGTTCTGTTGCACCCATCTCCTGAATGAGCTGAACATTTTGATATAGAATAGGCCAATTGCTAAATTAGTACAAACTATACAGAAGTAGTTAGACTGAAACAAACAAACAAACAAACAAACAAACAAACAAACAAACAAACAAACAAACAAGTACACCTCAATGGGAAAACAATATTTTGTAAATGCTGAAATAGCATTCATCCAGTCAATCCTTAATAATAGTAGTTACATTATAATATAAGCAAGAACTCTTTTCAAAATCTGTCCCAGGTTTAAAATACAGAGAAAACTAAACTATAGAAATAAAACAGTGAGTAGCCTGTCCTCAGACAGTGTTGAAATTAAAGCATTAAATATTTGTAGCTTCTTAGCAGGAAATCAGAACAGTCCTGGTTTTCTCACATCAAGTCAGGATTAAGTTAACAAAACTGCAGAAGCTCACCTCAGGATAAAACCCAAACAAAGAACCAGCAGCTGGTGGTCTCCAGGGGTTCTCATGTGGGATCAGGTCCGGGTGGTCCGAGCAGCGGCGGGCAGCGGGCGGACTGTCCCACACAGTCCCTCTGAGCCCGGAGCACCGAGCGAAGGGAAGGGGGCGGGGCCAGGCTGCCCCCCCCCCCCACCCCACCGGCTTCATAACTCACCGTGATGTCACCTTTTAACAAACAACAGCGTCTGGATCCAAAGGACAAGTTATTCCGCTGTGGTTTTAAAGCTAAAAATACAGAGGTCTGTAAAAATACCAGTTTGTTGCCTTGTAAGGGTAAAAATCAAATTAAAACTAATCTAAASGTGGGTTGGTACTCTAAACTCAATCATATTCTTGAGAAAATAGTTGCCAATAAACTATGTGAACATCTGGATAGAAATAATCTCTATGAGGAGTTTCAGTCAGGGTTTAGAGCTCATCATAGCACAGAAACAGCACTGGTTAAAGTTACTAATGATATTCTCACATTGACTTGAACTTGATATTGGGATTACAGGAACAGCTCTAAAATGGTTTGAGTCTTATTTAACTGATAGATTTCAGTTTGTTAATATTAATAATGAATCTTCTTCTTACACCAGAGTTAGTCATGGAGTTCCTCGGGGTTCAGTGCTTCAACCAATCTTCTTCACTTTATACTGTATATGCTTCAATTAGGTAAAGTTATTAAACAGCATGGTATAAATTTCCATTGTTATGCTGATGATACTCAGTTATAT